TGGGGCTGCAGGTACAGCTTCTTTTCCTGCTCCGTGACATCAGTCTTTTCTTTTTTCATTTGTTTGTTCTTGCTTTTCTGGCAGTACTGACGTTTGAATTTAGGGCCTTGCTTGACTAATATGCTACCACTTGAGCCATGCTTCCAGCCCTGCTTTGTGCTGGTTATTTATTTAGGTGGAATCTCTCAGACTTTTCTGCTCTGGCTGGTTTTGAACCATAATTCTCTGGATCTCAGTCTCTAGCTAGTATCACAGGTATTAGCCATTGGCACTGTTCCTGATGGACACCTAGCACCCAGCACTGTGAGACAATCCAGCTGTATTGCTTTAAGGGAGTAGGTTTGTGGTAATGTGTCACAGCAGCCACAGGAGAGAAAAATGTTTGTCAACTTAAATAACAAAAGAGAGCAAGTCTCCAAAGACAGCTAAGTGTGTTTGTGGATGAATATTCCATGCAAGGTCCACACCACAGAGGCCCTCTGGGAAGCAGAGGCCAGGGCACAAGCAACTCCATTTTGAGACCGATCAATTAAATAAAGGCAGAATTCAATAACGTGTCAGGACACAAGAAAAGCCTGAAAATGAACTCGACAAACCTTAAATAGGAAGCGCTCCACGATGCTTGCACCACCCCCACCCAACCTCCACAGGCTTCTGGGTAGGTCCTGTCCCTTTGCTGGAGTCCCTGCAAAGCCCTCCCAGTACCCTCTCTGTCAGAGCCCTGCGCTGCTGCTGCGGGAAGGGACGGACCGCTTCCACGATTAAAAAAAAATTCTGAGGCCCCCTTTCAGTATCAGGAAACAGGAAGTCATAGCCTTTAAAAATCCAATTAGCCACACACTTTCACTCATTAAATAAATGTTTTCACTTTGTACCCATCTGATTGCCAGATATGCGCAACAATGGATCTGACTCACCTGTTTGTACTCATGGCCTCTTTCCTGCCCAGAACCTTTGAAGTTCTGCGGTGGCCACACCTGGCCCACCGGTGGGGCAGGCTGGCACACACCTGTGTTCCTACCTGTGTTCAGACATTGCCTCTCCATCTGCTGAATACTCATCTTTTTGGAATCCAGAAGAGTAAGGGGGGCACAGAAACGTGAGGGACAGTGCGCAGGTGCAGCGGGGCCCTCACAGACACTTGACAATGAGCCACACAACCTGTGACGTCCGTTGGGTTTTATCTCGTATTCCCTTCCAGGTTCGTAGCACTGAGCACCATTTCATGCTCTCTGGTAGACTGATTGGTCAACCTTTCGCTCATTATCCACTCACGTTTGGTTAAAGGCTCACAGGCCTCTTCTTCCGGCCTGATGAGAAGCACGGAGCTCTGCGTGTGGTCCTGGCGTGGCCGTGGGTAACAAAGAAGTCAGTCTGTCCATCAGCCCGTGCTCTGTGACCTTGCTGTGAATTCGCGGGGATTTCAAACATAAGCAGCGATGTCTGGTACAGAGACAGCTTTATTCTTTCCAGTCTCTGGCCCTGAGCCTCTCTCTCTTGCTTTGTGCTGCTCACTGGGATTGGCACGGTGCACAGAGCAGAACTTTGCTCGTCTCAGAGACAGTGCCCAGTCTCCACACGAAGGCAGTGTTGGCTGTAGGCTTTGCAATAGATGTTCCTTGTCAAGTTAAGAAAGTTCTCCTAATTCCAAATTTGCTGACACTCTTTGGTGTCTCTTCTGAACTGCTCAGCTGGTAATACATCAATACATCTCTCTCTCTCTCTCACATACACACACACACACACACACACACACATATTGGTCTGGTTAAAGGTTTGTGAACTCTATTGATACTTTCAAAGATCTTGTTTTTAATTTCATTGATTTTTCAATTGTCTTCCTATATTCAATTTCATTGATTCTCTTATTTTTATTTTTTTCTTCAGCTTTGTTTAATTTGCTGTTTAAAAAAAAATCTCTTAAGGTGGAAACAGATTATTGTTTCTACTTCCTTTGTTTTTTAAAAATAAACTTTCCAGTTTCCTTCTGTTTTGAATGTAAGCATTTCTTTATTCTTCTCTAATTAAACGTTCCTAAAATAATCAATTATTTCTACACGCTTCTCTCTAAGGATGGTTTATTTTTGTTTATTTTACTCTGTCAGTAATTTCTAGTTTTCTGGAATAACCTCCTAGGCCTTGTATTGTCTAGAATGATGTTCATTTCCCACATATTTTGGAGTTTCCAGAGAAGTTCCTGTTTAGTGCAGTTATAATTTTTGGTTATTTCGAAGCTGAGACAGGGCCCACCCATCTTGCTGAACGCCCCTTGGGTGCCTGAAGGAACGTGTACGTCGGTGTTCGATGAACCACTCCACAAAGCCGCTGTGTCTGTGACCCGGGGCTCAGCTCCTTCCTTCTGTAGCCTTGCTGATCTTCGTTGTTTACTGCGGAGAGTTGTGGCAGACTGATGTGCCCTTCAATGGGGGTGCCTGCGGCCCTGGCGACCATTGGGAGACCAGCACTGAGGAGGAAGGCATCGTGAGGGAGTCATAAAGATGGCCCTGACTTACTAGGACTGGGGTCCCCACAAAAAGACTTCTCGGTGTGAGTGCAGAGGAGGGCCAATGCAAGGACACAGCAAGCAGACGGCTTCTGGGCCAGGGCAGAGGCCTCCCGGGAGCCTGAGGGCTGCGCAGCGGAGGCAGCCGCAAAGGGCCAGGGCTGCGCAGCGGAGGCAGCCGCAGAGGGCCAGGGCTGCGCAGCGGAGGCAGCCGCAGAGGGCCAGGGCTGCGCAGCGGAGGCAGCCGCAGAGGGCCAGGGCTGCGCAGCGGAGGCAGCCGCAGAGGGCCAGGGCTGCGCAGCGGAGGCAGCCGCAGAGGGCCAGGGCTGCACATCTTGGCCTGACAGGTTGAGCAGCCCTGCGGGGGCTGAGCGCGCGGGCTCCGGTGTGGGGTGTCCCGTGGGGCTGAGCGCGCGGGCTCCGGTGTGGGGTGTCCCGTGGGGCTGACGGTCAGGGCTCCGGTGTGGGGTGTCCCGTGGGGCTGAGCGCGCGGGCTCCGGTGTGGGGTGTCCCGTGGGGCTGACGGTCAGGGCTCCGGTGTGGGGTGTCCCGTGGGGCTGAGCGCGCGGGCTCCGGTGTGGGGTGTCCCGTGGGGCTGACGGTCAGGGCTCCGGTGTGGGGTGTCCCGTGGGGCTGACGGTCAGGGCTCCGGTGTGGGGTGTCCCGTGGGGCTGACGGTCAGGGCTCCGGTGTGGGGTGTCCCGTGGGGCTGACGGTCAGGGCTCCGGTGTGGGGTGTCCCGTGGGGCTGAGCGCGCAGGCTCCGGTGTGGGGTGTCCCGTGGGGCTGACGGTCAGGGCTCCGGTGTGGGGTGTCCCGTGGGGCTGACGGTCAGGGCTCCGGTGTGGGGTGTCCCGTGGGGCTGACGGTCAGGGCTCCGGTGTGGGGTGTCCCGTGGGGCTGAGCGCGCGGGCTCCGGTGTGGGGTGTCCCGTGGGGCTGACGGTCAGGGCTCCGGTGTGGGGTGTCCCGTGGGGCTGACGGTCAGGGCTCCGGTGTGGGGTGTCCCGTGGGGCTGACGGTCAGGGCTCCGGTGTGGGGTGTCCCGTGGGGCTGACGGTCAGGGCTCCGGTGTGGGGTGTCCCGTGGGGCTGACGGTCAGGGCTCCGGTGTGGGGTGTCCCGTAGGGCTGGTAGCACTTGCAGCCCTGTTGCCAGGCATATCTACAATTAGGATTATGCAGAGCTCCACTGAACCCATCGAGCTTGCACATGGTGTTGACCTCAGGTGAACTGACCCTGTTTGCACATGGTGTTGACCTCAGGTGAACTGACCCTGTTTGCACATGGTGTTAACCTCAGGTGAACTGACCCTGCTTGCACATGGTGTTGACCTCAGGTGAACTGACCCTGTTTGCAGGTGAACTGACCCTGTTTGCAGGTGAACTGACCCTGTTTGCAGGTGAACTGACCCTGTTTGCAGGTGAACTGACCCTGTTTGCACATGGTGTTGGCCTCAGATGAACTGACCCTGCTTGTACATGGTATTGACCTCAGGTGAACTGACCCTGCTTGTACATGGTATTGACCTCAGGTGAACTGACCCTGCTTGCACATGGTGTTGACCTCAGGTGAACTGACCCTATTTGCAGGTGAACTGACGGTGTTTGCACATGGTGTTGACCTCAGGTGAACTGACCCTATTTGCAGGTGAACTGACGGTGTTTGCACATGGTGTTAACCTCAGGTGAACTGACTCCGTTTGCACATGGTGTTAACCTCAGGTGAACTGACCCTGCTTGTACATGGTGTTGACCTCAGGTGAACTGACTCCGTTTGCACATGGTGTTGACCTCAGGTGAACTGACTCCGTTTGCACATAGTGTTAACCTCAGGTGAACTGACCCTGCTTGTACATGGTATTGACCTCAGGTGAACTGACCCTATATGCACATGGTGTTGACCTCAGTTGAACTGACCATGTTTACTTATGCATGGCGTCCTGTGTCTGATACCTTTAGCTGCTCAAGCATCTGCTTTAGTACTCCAGCGCTCCTGATAGGTGTTTGTTTGGTACACCTTTAGTATTCTATGACTTTCCACTGATTATATTTTATATGCAAAGTGGGTTTTGTTAACAGTGGGTTTTGTAGATTCCACCAAATTCTATCATTTTATTTGTTTATTTTTGTGCTGGTCTTGGGGCTTGAACTCAAGTCCTAGGTGCTCTCCCTCAGCTTTTCTATTCAGAGCTATCTCTACCACTACAGCCACAGGTCCACGTCTAGCTCTTTTGGTAGTTAGAGGTAAGAGTCTCATAGACTTTCTTGTCAGGGTTGGCTTCCATGATCCTCAGATCTCAGTCTCCTGAGTAGCTAGGATGACAGTTGTGAGCCACCAGTGCTCAGCTTTTAATTGGTTTTGATCATTTATGTTCATTTCCATTACTGAAAAAACAATATATACATACCATTTATTCACCTTTTAAGTTTTTCTTTGCTTTCTTACTTTGTTTTGGATTGTTTGGTTTTCTTAGTATCTCATTTTGATTTATCTGTGGATTTTGTTATTGTGCCTTTGTACAGCCGTGGCTCCAGGGATATATTTACTAACTCATGAGTCACCAGCGCTTGCCCACCTGTCACTGCCACATAGAAAATTCTGTCATTAGATGTCCCAACACTGCCTTCCACCATGGGTTGTATTTTAAAAACTCATATATACTGTCTATAAGAAATCCACTTGAAATATGATATTGTCAGTTTAAAAAGTTAAAGGATGTGAAAAGATTCACTAGCCAAACTTCCAGTAGGAGATCTCAGATCGCCCTGTGAGCGTGAACTGGATCAGGACTGTCATCTGCACCCGGTGTTTCCATCTGCTCCTCCTCTGTCTCGGAGCTGTGTGCCCACTGGCCTGCTTCCGTCTGCCTAACGAACTCTTTTTAACCCATCCTCTTTTATTTTTATTCATTTTATTTCACCTTTTCATACTTTTAATATTATAAAGGTGATGTACAGAGGGGTCACAGTTGCATTTGTCAAGTAACTTTTTGGACAATGTTACCCGTTCCCTCTTCTCTGTTTTCTCCTCCTGTCCCCACCCCAAGTTGTCAGCTCATCCAACAGTGTCCAGTGAGTGTCACTGCTGTGTATGCTCACCCTGCCCCCATACCCTTCTCCCCCCACTTACCCTCCCAAAGACACGGGCACAACAGAACAAAAAGAAAACAGAGACAGCAAAAAAAACTCTTGTTTTGATTTCCTGGAGGTGGTTTGGATGGGTACTATTTTGTATGGTCAGATGCACATTGTGTCTTTCTGTCCCTCTCCTAAGAGTGTCCTCCTTTGGTCGCACTGTGTGTGAGTGCCCAGCGACCTGTGGGATTTATTATAGCCCAGGATTTTAGATCTAGCTTCCTCATATGAGAGAAAACATGCACCATTTTGTCTCTCTAAGTTTGGCTTACCTCACTTAGCATGATTTGTTCTAGGTCCATCCATTTCCCTGCAAATAACATCATCTTATTCTTTGTAATGACTGTGTAAATTTCCATTGTGTATAGGTATCACAGTTTGGGGATAAACTCATTTATTGTAGGGCATCTGGGCTGTTTCTACAACTTGGCTAGTGTGAATAGTACAGCAATGAACCTGGATGGACAAGTGTCTTTATTACATCCTGGCTTTAGATGTTCTGGGTAGATGCCCTGGAGTGGTGTGTCAGGGTCATCAGGAATGGGACGTATATGTGTGTGTGTGTGTGAGTGAGAGAGAGAGACAGAGAGACAGAGAGACAGAGACAGACAGACAGACAGACAGACAGTCAGTCAGACAGACAGAGACAGAAACAGAGACAGAGACAAAGAGAGAGAGACAGAGACAAAGAAACCTGGGGTCTGAACTTAGTACCTCTAGCTGTCACTTGCTTTCCCATTCAAAGCTGGTGCTGTAACCCTTGAGCTCACTTCTCTCTAGCTTTTTACTGGCTAAGTGGATATAAGAGTCATACAGAATTTTCTGCCCCAGATGGCTTCAAACCTTGATTCTCAGATTCCAGCCTCCCAGACAGCTAGACTTACAGATGTGAGCCACCAGTCCCAAGCAGCCCCTCCTCTCAAGCAGGTGTGCCGGTCACATTCCCCTGCCTGAGAACGGCTCTCTTTTCCCTCTGTTCCGATGGATATGTTTGCAGGACAATGCCACAACTTGGTGATGATGTAAACATGGGTATTGCTATTGCAAAGGTGATGTCAGAAGGCTTGCCTTGACACCAGGTCGGAGTACCTTTCTTTTTGGACAGTGTTGCCCCTTCCCTCACTCTCTCCCAGTTTTCCCCTCACATCCACACCCACACGTGGTACAGTTCATTTCAAAGCGTCCAGTGAGTGTCACTGCTACATTTGTTTGCCCTTTGAGTCCTTTTGTTTCAAGTTCTTCATGTTCTTTGCCTGATGGGAATTCTTAGTCCTTTGAGTTACCATTCTCGTAGGGAATATGTCTTCTCTCCCTGACTGCTTTCCTCCTCTAAATTCAGTCATTTAAACACTTTTCCCAAGAAACGCATTATGGACCATCTTGGGTCACTCAGCAGACAGAGGCAGAGGTTCATCTAGTGGTTGGCACAGTCGTCTTCTCTGGTTGACATGAGCCATGGGAGATGGGTAACCATCTGCTGTGGTCTTTGGGGAAGAGCAGAGTCAGACGCTGGGGGTGGGGGGTTCCACCACAAGCCAGTGCAAAGGGTATTCAAATCCTAGTCTCAATGCTGTGACCTGGTTTGGAAACAGAGTTGCTACAGATACAACTAACTTGACAGGCCACACACTAGACGTGTGTGTTATAGGCATCCATGGCTGCATTATTCATAATAGCCAAGTTCCAAAATGCCCAGATGTCCTGCAAAGTAGATGAGTGGATAAAAAATGTGGTGCATATACACAGTGGGATTTTCCTCATCCATGAGAAAGTTTGCAGAGAAATGCATGGACCTAGAACCAATCATGCTTAGTGAGGCAAGCCAAGCTCAGAGAGACAGCAGCATGTGGATCCTAGAGCTAAAATATAACTGGACATGACAAGTATGCATTTACACACACCATAACTCCTCTGAACATTTAAAATACTATTTGTTGAAACAAATTCCAGGAAATGAAAACATGGGTGGTGATGGTTTTGGTGATAGTAGTTTTGGTGGTAGTGGTGGTTTTGGTGGTGGTAGTGGTTGGTGGTTTTGGTAGTGCTAATGGTTTTGGTGGTGGTGGTGGTGGTGGTGGTTGGTGGTGGTAGTTTTGATGGTGGTGGTGGTGGTGGTTTTGGTGGTGATGGTTTTGGTGGTGGTGGTTTGGGTGGTGATGGTGGTGGTGGTTGGTGGTTTTGGTGGTAGTTTTGGTGGTAG